TTATATGATAGTATCCTTAAAATTTACCGTCAATTTCTAATGGCACTATATACTCAGTATAAAATTTAAGAAAATTTTCCAGACTCGTTGGCTAATTTCCCCTCCCGCTAAGGGTAGTAGCATTATAATCGGAGCTAATTTAAATTGTAAAAGATTGTCCATCATATCTACTAATTTTTTAAAGGTTGGGTTGTTTTACATGTATTAATATAACAGTAAAAATAGCGATGTGAAAAGCTGTCGAAACGCGACGATCAGGATTCTCGAGTAGAAAATCACAATAAATCAAGCAAAGTCTTTCTTTAACTTTATCTTCAGTGCATCGATGGCAATAAAAATATTAGCAGTCTACTAACAAAATATCGAGTAGATCAAACATAAACCAGCGTAAAAATATTTACAGTACCACTGTTGGGATTATCATACTCATCAGCAGTACCCTAACTTGAACTATAGCATGAAAACTATTCGATGGAATCGTAAGACTGATAATAATACTGTATAGACTTGCATTGCAAGACATATTTATTTACAATTCATTAGTAAGTACCGTTGCTATAAAACAACATGTGCCGATATATATTGAAGTAATGGTCAATGTTTACCTTCAGCAACGCACAAGATTACAACAACGAGAACGTAGAAGTCGCTAAAGTAAATAATGAATATCCATAAGAAATGCCAATCCTTGAATCTTATATAGTCACTATATAATCACAATGCAATGATTACATACTGTGCGTTCTGATACTATTCCAATATAGTTGTATAAGGACCAACACGGTAAAAGTGTAGATGATGTTGATCGATAACTAAAATTGATCCAATTCCAGAAACTTGGCTCACATGTATTTATAAGATTAACTAAATTCACACTTTATCTCCGTAAACGGAGGAGTATACGTATAATAATCTAAACTTATATTTCCAATATTTTATAGTGTAATACTAATAAAAGGACTTTCATACGAAAATTCGGTAATTATCGTATGCATTTGTAGGTAAAATATCGAACTAGAATGAAATACGGTTATATAATGTCAGCTATTGAAGCAATCACAGGCTTTAATTAAATATCCAAAGTTTGTAAGAATCGTATTGAATACTTCAGGTCGCAAGCTAGTTACATTAATGCGATATCAATCCGTACATTATTGAAAAATCTTGGAGTTTGACTTCCTTCAGTATAAAATTTGCATGAACTTATTTTTGCCCGGATTTTGCCTCGAGAGCCGATCTACTTCAGCAACACAATCTAGAGTAACATTACAAAGCTGAGAAGCAAATTATTCCATTTAGAGAAGTTTCCTATATAGGATTTAAGAAAGTGTTATTCCGTTACATTATAGTTATTATATAATAAAGAGGGTAAAGAACTTAGAAATTTTAGGGTTCAAGCTGTTAGCTTAGTTGCAAGAACTATTGAACTAAAGCAAACTTTATTGAGTTGTTTTATGAATTATCTACTTGTAGCCAAATAATACAGATAGATAAGACCATATACAAGCACAGCTTATTGCATATATTGTCATCTGGGAAAGCAAGTTATAAACCATAGATGAGCAATGATGATCTAATATGATGCTGAAAAATGAAAACTATTGAAAAAGTTCAAGAAATTGTTGATTATTTACCGAACACCTCTCAATTGTATGTACTCAACCTTTAACTTATAATCCACCTACACATCTATTGGATAGCTGTAGAGTCTAGATTTTACTTTAAATTTTAATGTAGCAATGTATTCCTAAGTGGTTCGATAATTCAGCGTAAGTAGATTTAGTAGCCGTTTGAAGATTTATACAAATGCGCCATGTGTAAAAATAGCTTCATTATTACAAACTCCAAATGTGTGGCATTTGTCGTAGAGCAGCCTATAAGCAAGCTAACGTGCAGTTTAGCGAGAATAGTCTACAATGTGACTATATTGCAACTAACTGAATCAGAGGCAGAAATTGCTAGCATTTATAGCTTTAGAGGTAGGATGCTTGCAGAGAACGAGATTATAGAATTGGATACAACATATCCATAATAGCCTATGCTATAGCAAATAATTATAGAAAACGGCGAGGACTGTAAGTGCTATAAATAACGAAGCATGACAAATAAAATTTGTCTACAGTGCGATAAGACTGTAAAGGCATCTCTGTTTAAGGACGAATTAAAATGTCTATATTAAGTAGATGCCACAAGCATACTACAATCTTAATACTGTACATTACATGTCCAGCAGTAAATTTTTCCATTTCTTGAATATCCTAAGTAAATAAATGCCTAAATTACTGTACTATGTGGCTAACTACGTTAGATGATTGATAATGACCATTTCTAACGTATATCGAGGACCAATTCTGATCTAAAAGTCATTTAAATGGTGATATTTTTGAACAACGAGCGTGAAATTATCTAGGGAATAATATAGAAGCATTGATGATCGACTGTATATGATTATTTGGTGGACTATCAGCTGGTGATAAAGCTATACGCGTAATTATTGTTGGAGTGTTTAATAATAACGATTTCAAGATTTTTGAATAAAGAGTACGATATTAATGAATGGTTATACTATTAATGTAGCTTAGGCAATTAATCAAGGCATCAGACAAACTGCAAGGCTATCCGTTAGAAATGAAGCTGTAATTGACTTATGATAGGGTTTTCTCTCACGATTTTTAAGCAAATAGCATTACTAACATACTAGCCTTTCTACTTGATCCTTAGCTATGTTGCTGCGTTCTTAGAAATTATCAGCGTATTATAATTCTTAGGTATTTGTTACAATTTTCCTTTGTAACAAGAAACCGGGTCTTAAACACTATCTTCACTAGTACTTGTGTTCCCAACTAACTTAGGGACCTATCGTAGGTGAACTAACTCTCAGCTACACAAAAAGCTACTATTTAGTAATAGGTTTAAATACTATACTTTATTTTCGTTAACCTTAGTCGTAAAATGTACTAAAGAAAAACGTAAGAATATTCTTAGCAATAATAGTCAAAAGATCCTGCAAATGACTAACTGGAACTGAGAAGCTAAGCCAGTGCTCCGCTTTTTATAGTCTCGCCGATGGTACACTTGTGAATATTCTTGAAATAGCGGCGTACACTGTACAGTGTTCAGTACACATATCCTAGTATAGCAACTAGAGCCTCAAGGCTCTGCAAAGTAATTGATCTTACACTTAAGGTGTTATTAATTAAGGTTTACAGACTAAGCGTGCTAGCTCCGACACGTCAACAATATTGAACAAAAACTTATTAATAAACATTAATATCTAATAAGCTACTGGAGCAAACAATAATTTAAATGAGATATTTTAATTAACATAGCAATTAATATTTCGGAGCATGGCTCCGTAACAGTATTATAGTAGTAGCGAATAATATATGGCTAGCTATTATGGTGAGAATTAGTCTACATTCAAATAGAGAGAGATTAGATTTACGGGGTATCTGTGAAGAAAGTGGTCTGAGATAATCTTTCTATTTCGTAACTACCAATAGTGCTTTATTTGCAAGATTAGATAAAAATTTTAAAACCGGTAATACATCTATTTTATTAGCAAATATGACTTTATTGCAAGTTGCTAATTTCTCTAGCTAGATGAATTAAGAATAAAAGATTTTGTATTTCTATTTCTTCATTCCTCAATATTTGGAACAAGCCGTTGGATAGATTATGTCAATGATTAAAAGCGATTAAAGAGCAATGAAGGTATTTCTTTCGCGAACTAAATTTCAAAATTGTAATTAAGATAAATTTTACTATGTAATAACTTTTGATTTTAACTAAATAGAACGTATTGTACTACGTATATAGGTCCATCCGCTTTCGAATGCAAATAATAGCCTTTATTACCATAACTGATAGCATACTATTGTCATGATATCAGTATCCTTTTACTAAACGGAATAATATCTCCTTCATTACAGATACCCTTATGGTAGCAAGAAGAAGTTCAACTTGAACGGTAGTGTTATGCAGCTTAATTTTTTAAGAATCGACAATTGTTCAAATGTGACTCTAAATTTCAATAAGCATTTCCCGTCGCAATAAATGATTCTGCACAATTTGAATATTTTTAGTTTCGATATTTGTTACATTACTACGCAGCATGTGGAACCAGCATTAACATTTCGTCCTTCAAATCTTGCGACACTCGAATATTGCTGAGGATTTTGCTCATATGACTGCTGAGGCGATTCTTGCTGACTTTGATTCACAGCTTGTTGCTCATACTGCGGAGAATTTTCCTCTTTGATCTGAAATTTTAATGACAGCAATAAGTTGGTTAGCTGTAATCGCTAATAATTTATATAGTGGATTTTACTCGAAGAAGCGAGTAAATCCGTATTTCAATTTTATGCGCATTTTACGGCAAAAGACTACTCTATTAATTGCAGATAAATATTTATAATAGTTACAAAGTCTACCAAATAATCCTTTTCAGAAGTATTTGCTCAGATAGAAATGCTTTTCAACTTAGACTTTTTTCTGATGTTCAATAAGGACTGAATTGAACAGAGTTATAATAATGTTATCAAAGGATTTATTAAAGTTACATCGGGGAATTAGTACTTTATCGTAAGCTACTTTATATTGGTAACGGATGATCGAAAGCTCTCAATTCATCGTATTTCGGAATAAATAACATAACTTTTAGATGCTAAACACTTTTTCTGTATTAATTACTAATTAAGAAAAAGCGTAATAAACCGACAATAAGGACACTATAAGAAATTTTTTCTCTTGCTTACATTTTGTGTTTGTGGAGTAACACTCTCAGTAGACTGGGGTTGCAGTAGCTTATTAATCTTCAATGGCATAACTCTTCCATCTGCTGTAGCTGCAATAAGCATATTTTTCTTTTCTGCTATAGCAAAATTAACAATCTTGGCATGTGAATAAAAATTGGCGACAAGTTGGCCTTGCTTAGGATTCCAAATTTTAACAAGATTTTCTTCCGATGATATTGACATCAAATAGTGATCTTCCATCAGAAAGGCTAGGCGATCAATGGTTGCTGTATGGCCTTCCAAAGTATAAATCAGTTGACATTGTGGTGTAGAAAAATCCCATAATCGAACAGTATTATCACTAGCGCCGCTAGCAGCCAAATATTTATTCTTCGACAACTGTAGCGATTTTACGATGTCAGTATGCCCAACCATTTTACCATAGATCTCGAAAGTCGCTAATTCCCACACAATTAAAGTTTTATCCCAAGCACCAGAAACAGCATATTTCTCATCCTCAGTTACTGCTAGACACCAAATATTACGTTCATGGCCACTTAATTTTGCTATACATTGACCATTACAAGCATTCCACACCTTAATTTCTTTATTAGAACCGGATCGATCGTACATTTGGGTTCGAAATATAGTTAGGAAGTAGTTCGATTTTAAAAGGATAATATCAGTAGCATAACAATGCTTATGTTGAGCAATTGTACTGAAATCAGATGTGTAAATTATTAAAGTCCTGTCACTTAATAATGTAATGATATATTGGCCATCATCCGATATAGCAGCACAATCCACCGCTCGAAATGGCATCCTAGTTTCATCAATTACCTCAAGTTTTTCAATATCAACGGTATAACGCAATGTTTTCCGAGATGGAAATGCAATTCCTTGCCTATATTGGCTAGCCTTTGTCTCATGAATATAGCCTAGTGGTCCATGCTTTACCGATAGTGATTTAACTAATTTTCCAGTTTCCATATCCCACTTCTTAGTAGTATTATCCTTGCTACTTGTAATGTAATAGCGATTATCATGCGTAACTTGGACTGATGTAATATAATCAGTATGGTACTCAACTTGTTCAGCATCTCCGCTGCTTTTATTAGAGAGAGAACTCAGGTCGGATAAATTCCAAACTTTTATCGTTTCATCAGTTGAAGCAGTGACAGCAAATGGCTGCCCGCGACCGCGGAAAATTTTTAAATCGTTAATTTCTCGAGTATGCCCTTTAAATTCAGCAAGAACTTCTCTTTTTGCAATATCAATAACTGATAATTTATCATTGCCAAGTGAGGCTATAACGTATTGGCTGTCTGCTGTAAAATATGCCATTCCTTGACGATATTGTCGATCATCGCCGTTGATTCGGAAAACGAATTCGCCACTAGCCACATTGAAGAACTTAACATCATTGCCAGAAGTTGCAGTCCCAACTAACTTGCCATCAGGACTAATTTCAGCCATATAAACTGAAGAGGAATACTCTGGGTCCTCCATTTTATGCAAATGTTTCCCTGATGCGATATCGTAGAGACCAAGCCATAATCCTTCTATGAAAACTAAGGAGTTATCAGGAGATATAGCTAGTTCAGCTAAAGGACAGCCTCCATTAGTTTCTTTTAATACACGCAGACAATAGTAATGATTTAAATCCCAAATACGAGCTGTTTTATCTCTGGAACTTGATATAGCAAATGTACTAGAAGAATCCACAGCTACTGCAGTGATTTCTTTGGTATGGCCATCCATATATCTAATTAATTTTCCACTTTCTAAGCTCCATACAAGTACTGCATACCAATTACTATTTTCATCTTCGTCATCGCTATCGACTTCTTCTCCATCATCAGCAGAATCGTCACCGTCATCTATGTCTTGTATAACATAGTCATGAGTAGGTCTGTCTTCATCTTTATTGTTTTTACTTTTCTTGTTTCCTTCGGTATCATCATCATCATCATCATCTCATCATCTTCATCTTCATCTTCTTCTTCGCTATCGGACTTTACTTTCTTTCGAGGAGGTAAAACTTTTCGTAATCTGCCCATGATTCTGCAACCTGATACAGCATACTTGCAATTGTTGGTCAACACTAGCCGACATTTACCTTTGGTATGCCCTCGTAGAGTCATTAGTCGATCACCAGACTCTAAACTCCAAACGATAATAGGACTTTTCTTTCCATATTCCCAAATATATGTATAGGAAACAATCATACGATTGTCTGCAGTAATAGCTAATCCATACACATATTCATGATGACCGGTTAAAGTATGCATTAGATTCCCAGATGCAATATTCCATACTTTAACTGTATTATCTTCAGAGCCCGACGCCAGAAATAATCCGTTATGCGAAATAGCAAGGGAGCAGACTTTTTCGGTATGGCCTTCAAGGGTAGCTTGTAAAATCTCTCCCGAAATATTTAAACATGATCGAATTGGCATGAGAGGGTAATTATATTGGCCATATTCTGCTGCTTGTTGAACAAGTTTAGCAAGGTATTGGCAATCATCCCCCGAGCTTCGATCGGATAGTTGGCCTACTAATTCAGCGGCTAAGGTGCGTGGATCCGTGATCACAGTTGAAGCTGACAAACGAATAGCTTGGTAAACTAATTTGATTTCTTTATCTTCTTCAGGTAATGCATCCAGTGCCATAGTAAAATCATTTAACAATTCTTGAATTGATGTTGCATTTAATTTCGTTAGTAACCAGTTAAATGAACAATAAACAAATTCTTTACTTTCTTCCAATCGCCCAGCTTTAATTAAATGATACGGAAGTTCATTCATTTTTCGCAAATTATACCTAACTCGGCCACCTTGGCCGGCCATATCTCCATCCAATTCAAATATCAACGGTTGACTAGGTACCTTCCTGTCTGCTTTTCCATTTTCACTATCTAATTTAAACATTTTAACTTGTTTATCAGTATATTTAAAAGGTTTCTCTTGATTAGCCCATGTTCCAAGATAGTAATCAGCACATAAGCTATGAATTTCTCGCACCACACCTTCATTATGGAGGTAACGTGCACGAGCAACTTCAATAAACTGCCGATGATACCAGTATATAACGCGATTATTATCAGTTTCACGTTCAACAAGATATTCATCAATTTCACTTCGAATCCTTGTCCAAAGTAATGGAGGTATACGACGAACAGGTGGTAGCCAGTATTGATAAACGTCTTGGAGGACAACATCATCGCATGACAGTAAATCTTCCAACTCTGATTCAGCTACACCTGATGGCGATGCAGTAATATAAGATAGTGCACGCGAAACTAACATTTTACCATGCTGTCTTTCTAACTTATCAAATAATAGCGATATAACTGTTGGTATAGTAACAGGTAGATCTGCTGATGTTATAGTGTGATAGGAATACCAACGCCGAGCTTGATCAAATACTAGTTTGAGGTATAACGGTAAACTACATTGTTTAGCTGCGACAGTCATAATTTCTCGCTGTTGTTGACTAACTGTACGTGATGCAGATGATAACCAGTCATCAATAATTTGCATTCCCACATCCACCGGGAGAGGATTAACTTCAATATAACTTGCTTCAGGTAATACCTGTTTTAATGCAGCCAAGCAATCGTATTCATAAGGTAAAGTCGATAATACCATAGCAACATGAGATGGTAATCGATTCGGTATCCATTGCATACGATGAGCTCCATCAACAGGCAATAATTGATCCAAAGAATCCAATATGATTACGAGTGGTTTGTTAGCTGGGATATTCTGTATCTGCATGGCGAAATAAGCAACTAATTGAGAGTATCCATCGGGAATTTGTGTTTCATCTTTATCATATATTCGACATATTTGTTGGCAAACGGAGAAGATAGTTTTGGAAATAGATGAACTATTAGGCGTAGTACCAAGAAAGCGAGCAATGATTTTACAATGGGGATATGATTGGCCTGTCCACTGAGTACATTTAGCCATCACTGATGTTTTGCCACTACCTGATACTCCGTGGATGATGAGAGGAAGTTGCTCTTGAATATCATTAGAGTTTTGGCAGCTATGCTGTATATAATCTTCAATAGGCTGGAGAATGTTTCGGCGTCCATGAAATGATTTGCACTGCTTTACACAAAAATGTAAATGACTTAAAACTTCTTGATAAAGATCATCGGTGGAAGTTAACTGATTTGATTTTGCTACCCCATCATCAATCATGGATACCATGGTGTTATAAAATTTGCCACAAAATTCTTCAATATAGCGACTATGAGCTTTAACGTTTTCAGGATCGATACCATTATCTGTCCAATCGATTGTGGATTCAAATAAGCGTGATGCGGGCAATTTTTCGTGTAGCTTAATATCTCGCAAATCAGCTAGTAAATCCTGAGCTTCGCTATCAACTTCTGATTTTCCCCATTCAACATCAATAAAAGATGGAGCATTTTTGTTAGATAGATCAGATTGAAGATTGGAAATTTTTCGAACAAATCCAATACAGTGCGGCTCAATATCTTTATTTGTGTTAAGAATACCATTAATAACTTCCTCGTGGGTTACTAGATCAAGAAAAGAAGATGGGCAATGATGAGCATTTTGCCAATATACAGCTAAACTGTTATAGCTAAGTAACATCTTTTATTAACGCGCAGCTTAACTGTTAAAGCTAAAAAATATCTTTCATTGACCGTAAAGTTAGTATCATCTACATTTAATTAATGGCATAGTTTCAAATAGATTGATCTTTGATAGCAATATGCATGCTACCTGAAATTAAAAATCTCATTGCTTCTTCGCGCTCTAGCCCTTGCTTCTCCAATAGCCTTTTAGCAGCATAGCGAAATGATTGTTGCATTTCATTAAAAGCATCCCACCATTTCGCTTTATCTTCCTTATGCAATTCCGGCTCTGAAGGATCGATATAATACTTCAAGATTGAAGATATAGGCTGTAAATTATACAGGGCTGGACTGGCATTTTCATCTAATTTAAACCATGTCTTAAATGTCTCAGTTGACTTTCCGTGGTCTGTCAGCAATTGAATTATTTTATCATAGACAGTAGCAAGGATTTTAGGAGGAAAAGGACGATAGCCATATTTCTGGCCCAAGAATGTCTGTAAAATTATTAATAATCAAGTAAGAGCATATAGCTACTTAATGACGTACAATTTTTTGCATATTCAGAAATGTGACTGCTCGAAAAATCAACAATTTCTTCATCCTAATCAATCTAGCAGAAGAACGTTGCTTTCTTCGCTAAAAGAATTGTAGATGGGTTTTTTCTTTTAAAATTTAACCCATGATTACGTTATTAAACTATTTTTTCTCCTATTATTAAGATAACAGTAATTTTACTAACTAAATTGACGAAATTGAATATCGAAAAGTGTAATTATGGTAAAAGAACATTCAACCGATGGTAGAAATGTAAAAGTGCTATTGTAAAAATTGATAATCATTTTAGAAGTGATTCAGTTGCTGTTGGCTTATTGAAATTAAAAATCATTACCGTAGGAATCGATCTCAAAGTATAACAACAATTTCATTAGAACTAATTGTCCAGAATATAGCACGAGTATTTGTTAAATGAATTATAGAATTCATGATAATTTAGATTGGCTTTGCTACTGAAGATGAAAACTTTGAATTAAATTATACCGTGTACATTCTACCGTATTTCTAACTTATAAATAGCAATAATGGCATAGTTCCAATAGCAAATTTAATGATACTGATACTTAATACTACAAAGCAGTTTCAATCTGACTATGGCATATAGATTTGGTCGGATGTGTTACAAATATTTCGAACCGATAGAGGTTGATTACTACAGCAACACAATTGTAGACTATAGAATGTAAAAATCTATACTCAAAGATATTCATTACTGCCGGAAAGATTATAAATTTAATGATCATTCAAGGACGAACAATTAATATAGAATTAAGGATATGTGCTATATTTTAAAATAACTCGCTCAACCACAATAAGTAGCTTATACTGTTTATCACGTATGATTAATCTTGGATATTAAATATATTTACAATATCCTCGTGGTAAAATTCATTTTTTGATCTTATGATTCAATTGGCTACCGTGCGATAAAAACAACTTTGAGAGCCTAATATTAAAATTATTAGGGATTTTTATACGCTCTAATTCTTAAACATGAGCTCTCAGCTCAGTATTAAGATACACCGTACAAAACTTTACTCGTTAATTTACTATTGCTGTTTGATTGATTAATGTAGTGTATTTAGAATATACTGTAACTATATTCTACTCTTAAATATAGACATGTTGTATTGCTCTTATATTTAGACAGATCTACAGTCCGCTTACTCTACATTCATATATAGACTACTGTATTTAGTTATTACGGTACTCGCTGTTTTCTACAATCATCTGCTATTTTGTAATCTGTTATGGTATATGTTGTATCTAATTCCACAATCCTATTCTCTGCATGTGCTCTATCTTTAAAACTATAAATACCGGCGATTTCTACCTCAGAGTTCATTAGCCTCTCAGTTAGTCTTCTAGTTAGTCTCTCACAGTCTAATACTTCTACTCGTTACTCACGACAGCTTGCACGTTGGTCTACCGTAACTACCTCACTGTACTTCACATTACTAACCTACAATAAAGCATAACTTTTATAACCCCTTTGTTGTAATAATTGTAAATGGCGACTAAATCTCAATCCTCTGAGATATCGAACCCTCCATCACAATTAATGCTTAAAATTAGGTGAGATAAAGAAATGTTTCATGTAAGAATATTATATGAAATGCAAAGAAAGATTACAGGAATTAAAATTGTATTGAAGCTAAATATTATTGGGAAGCGTATGGTAATTTGTAGTTCGATTTTAAATATATTGAAATCCATATCATGCCTAATCCATTACTTCAAGTAGTTAGCTTCATCAATTTGACTAGTTGGTAATAGCAATAACACAAAATCTTATGCATCAAAGTCTTTAGATCGAAATAAAAAAGATATTATCTAAATATTACTATTTTCTTGTATCTAAACGATTACTTACCACAAAATTAGGCCCAATTGATAGCCGCTGACACGCTTTAATTTCTGCCATACACAAGGCACTTGTCATATGATCATCCGTTGCTTCATCTCGAACACCCCATCGCATATCAACAACTTGAAATTCTAATCCATAACGACTACGACAATAATTTTTGAGTTTCGGATAGACATCTCTCATAAGGGTGTTTCTTTCATTTGCAGTATCTACAATAAACGAACTATAAATTAGTCTTCCAAGTAATTAAGCGTGCCAGATGAGGTTAAAAAGAGCCATTTTGACACATTTGTTTCTTCAGAAATTGCAAGTTCTTTTCAATATGGCAACAAGCCATACGTGAAAATTACCTACCTGTAAAGGTAGAACTAGTAAATATTCGAACAATCTGCGATCTTTGAGGTGGTAGGTTTTCTGTCTTCCCAGCTAAAACCTTTTCTAATACTTCATCAACTGCCATCACTGGAGGTCGATAGATTTCCAGCTAACAATCTATTGTATCAAAGAAACCATTTACTTTGATTGAAAATAGTTCAAACATGTACAATTTATCATTTCCATTTGGCATAAAATCGATAATTATTACTCAGCGGGTTACATTTAATAATCAACAATTATCCTCACCTCAATTTTATATATATTATCCTGTAATGACAATCTTGAATATTTCCAAACTGGCATATGGATAAAAATGGTCAAAATGTCATATTCATCGGAGATGCCTAGATGCGAAATTCGTAACAAAACTCCCTATATGACATCCCATCATAAAGTTTCAACTTAAATCTCCAATGTTACTATAGCAACAATAAGACCATCTATCCTTATTTGTTGATCATTATGAATATCTCTTGTCCTTGACGTCATAAAAAAGTATGCATATTAAGTATGGAGAAGCATTGTTATAGGCTTATAGCTATGGAATTAGAATGAATTTAAAGCTAATATTTTTATAAAGCTGTCCGATAGGGGTATAGTTACCTAGGCAAATACTTGTTTTTCAATAATTTTAACTATTATTTAGCTCTGTTGTGAGGTAGATGTGTTGGCAATCAACTTTCCATCATTATCATGAGTCAATTAACGCAGAAGAATTTCACATGTTATCATGACAGTAACCGCTCAATCCATAGAAAAAATGTTTTTTTGCCATTTGGAAATCAGTGCAATCATGTTATAACCATCGAATGCCTATTGCAGCTCGATTAGGACTTGTATTGATCAATGAGTGCGAATTCGGCTAGTCAGTTCAATAAGATTAATTACCAGTCCAAGAATTCGAATAATTTTCTGCATATTGCTGCAGAAAATGTCTTTAATATCATAGTACATGCAACATATGTTCAGTGCAAGGAATAATGTCCTTATAGTAATTTTAATATGACATTGTAGCGGCTCATCAAATACCTTATCGAAACTCTAACTTATCCTTTCTAAGATAATGAAATGCTAGCACTTATAAAGTCGTCTATTGCTTCAGCTCAGAAAAAATTAAAATTTGCTAATATTTAAAGTCAGGAATTTACATTCCTATTCATGTGATAGTGCATAAGAGGCTCTAATAATTATAATCATTATGATTGGTGGCGTAGGCCCACGGATTAGTGCTTTTCAGCGGAAAAACACTATCTTACAGTATACTACTGTGCTGCATGATTGAAGGATGATAATTTTAAATCTTTGTTGTTCTTACTAGCAATCGCATATAATTAATAACTATATTATATATAATGTATGAGCATTATGAAAGGCGTCATCAGAGTGATCTAAACTTTGCTAGTAATAACTAAGTTACTTGTGAACATTTGTTCTAGCGATATTAGGAACGTAGCAACATGATACGTTAACAACCGGTAAAGTACTATAGAAATATTGTCACGAGTACATGAGTACGTATACGGTAAATACTGATAATTATAATAATATAATTAATGCTGCATAATTACAATATTGAAACGTAGAGATGTTGACAGAGAAAATCTACATATATAAACTGGTCGAAGCTAAAACTACACCCCTTGTGCAATTAGCAAATACTGAATGTCATAGCAAGATCGCTCTGAAATACATCATCTTAATTAAATACTTTTTAACGCGAATGTAGCCTACCATCCCAAGAGAAACCAATTAACTGAGAATCTAATCTTACAAAACAATCGAAATTACTATAAAAATGATCCTAACCGATTCACACTTGAATGTTTTATAGTATCGTCAAAATTATGCCTTCTCTATAACAGCCGAATGATATCAACATACAGTATAAGCTGTATGAGAAATAGTAAATTGCTTCAATCGAAGAGTGTCTGTAAGCATGAACTATTTTAAGCTAGGATTCAAAGATAAAGATACTTTAGTTGCAATGTTAAAATCGAATTTCCTTAGAGTTTGAGGTCTAGCAATAGAGTTAGCGCTAAAGTTGACCTCTATAGGGCTATGGTTAGAGCTAGGGTCAGGGTTAGAGTTAGAGCTAGGGTTAGAGCTAGGGTCAGAGCTAGAGCTAGGATTAGAAAGGTAGGGTTAGAGCTAGGGTTAGAGCTAGGGTTAGAGCTAGGGCTAGAGCTAGGGTTAGAGCTAGGGTTAGAGCTAGGGTTAGAACTAGGGGTTAGAGCTAGGGTTAGAGCTAGGGTTAGAGCTAGGGGTTAGAGCTAGGGTTAGAGCGAGGGTTAGAGCGAGGGTTAGAGCTAGGGTTAGAGCTAGAGCTAGGATTAGAGATAGAGTTAGGACTGTATAAGTCATAATGAATTATCATTATTTCGTGAGTATTACGTTTTTATTTACTGGTCAATTAAAAATTATAATTTTTTTCTGTGATTTTTTATTATTTATACGGATTACTTATCTATTCAGATATTTCTTCGTACTTCCATTAAAGTAAGTCACACTTCTCGCTTTGTAAAGTATTCTATACTCTTCTTTATTAAAGTAAATTAAGGCTGTCCATTCTGTTGTATGGGTATATATATCCTGAGGGTCGTTTCAGTATAGGAGCACAATTGTGCAGCAAAATATTGCTATTAAATTGCATACTAAAGTACAACTTTTAACAATATCTGTTAAACTTTAACCTAAAAGTGTAATGTACGTAAATCAGTAATATCTAATATGATTTATTTAAGATTACATATCAATTTTATTTATAAAACGTTAACATGTACATTATAAAACAGTATGTTAATAGCCAGTTATTAATGCATTTAATTTGTTATTTGTTTTATCTATCTATTATTCTTTAACTTTCGTAATTTATTGTATTTAATTCTGCGATTCTTTTATTTTAGTAACGATCGTTTGTGATTGATTAATCAACCAAAGTCTCATATATTTTAAAATTGTAGAATACGATTTTAAAGCTTTTTAAGCTAATTCAATCTAAAATTATAGAATAGCGAGATATTGTTTAACTTTATATAAAATAATTAAGATACCATAATTACAAATTACTCGATTTCTTGTTTAATGTTAAGGATATAACTACCTCAATATCTTTCCTATTAGTTCATTAAAATAATACTTACTATTTCTTCAATGAGCATAGAAAAACATTCAACTAATACCATACTATTCAAATTTACTTAAAATAATTTCGATTGATGATTACGATTGTAAAGTATAATAAAAACTGCATTCAAAGTATTTGCTGGTGACGTGAAGTAGGTGTGTATTTTTAAATTTCATTTCATAAAGATGTAGTGCCGCATTGTTTATCTTTGAAAATTTAGATGCTATTTCACTATAATTTATAAAATTGGAAAGAAAAATGCACAATGCCATACTGCATAAAAGTAATGTCCTGAGTCTAAATTAGTCTCAATTACTAAGCAGATAAACAAGATCAATGGTACAAATTATTAAAATCTGTCGCATTACAATGGAATAAAATTGCAATTTCGAAAATGTAAAATTGATCACCGAATAAGTTAAATCATATCTACATTGTTAGCTTAATTTTCCTTACAAATTAGTATCTAAAACCATTTTTCCTATCGGATTAACTATGGTTGAAAATTATTTACAATGAAATGGAATTATCTACATTATGAAAGTTATGAGATTTAAATAATAAACTGAAGTCTATTATTTTTGTGACAATGAAGCCGACGTAGAATTTAAATTAAGAAATTACACAGCAAGCAGATGCGCGAACTTCTGGAGGATTGTACTGCAAAATTTCAGGCGGTGGAGTCGTAATAGAGTTGCGTAAAATACCTTTACTACTATTCGTTGAAGACTTAGAGTCAAGTCTAGGCCTTTCAGAAGTTTCTAGGTTTTCATTAGAATTTTCCAAATTATTATTAATGTGATTTGAGTCTTTAATATTTCCATTTTCCTTCTCAGGATTACTCAATTTGAATTTAGGTCTAGATTTAGCCTATTGAGAGTACAAAATTTAAATCATTAATCACATCATATTCACCTGTAATTGCATTATTTGAATAAAAGCTAGTAATGCCGATAATTTACTGACTTATAACGAGTAATGATGAATTTTTTTAATTATTTAATTAGTTAACGCTTACGCTTTAAACAAAAATTGCATTCTCATCAATTACTTCCAATAGCAAAACTTAGATGATGACATATTTTAGAAGTTTGTGATAAATTTAGTAATCTGATAAATGATATTATTGGAACATCAAGCATGACTACCTTTAAAATAAAATTGTTTACGATCTATAATGATATTAGTTTATGTACAGAAGATTATTTTGCCAGGTCTCGTTATTAAACATGTAATCCAATACGTATTTTGCTTGTAAAGTACGATATATTTTCGCTCTACATTCCCTATTCTTACCTTTAAATCTTTCCATCCTACTACCTTAGTTCCAGCTCGCTTACGAAATAAATCGTAGATATTTAGTAAGATTACTCTGCCATCATTAGTTCCAATTATCAATTTACGATTCATATCATTAATGTCATAAGTATGCATTTTAGCATGCATGTGGAAATCGCCAATTAAATTTTCTGTTGCAACACTCCACACTTTTACTACAGTCTCCTCTGATGAAAAGGAGATGATATACGTATTATTAGGTGAAAATGAAACATGATCAACGACATGTTGATGTCCCTGATAAGTATGTATTAAGCGGCATATATTTGAGCTGAAATCCCATAATCGAACTGTAGCATCCTTTGATCCACTCGCAGCAAGGCGTGCTTTCGATGTTACTACAACGGACTGAACAGATTCAGTATGTCCTAATAGCTTGCCATAGATGGTTAAATTGGATAAATCCCAAATGATGACGCTGTTGTCATTTGCGCCAGTCAGTAAATAGCGTTCATCATCGGTTAATGTAAAGCACTGGATACGACCAGCATGGCCTGATAATTTAATTGTCTGACCATTTTTATCAAAATTCCAGGCTTTAATAACTTTAGTATCACCACTTTCATCATAAAATTGAGAGCGATACATGGTCAAAAAGTAATTGGATTTAAGCGACTTAATATGTGTAACATGCGATTTTTTAATTTCAGATACAATTGAAAAATCATGTGTATTCCACACTTTTAAAACTTGATCATAAGTTATTCCCATTAAATGGCGACCATCATAAGATAGACATGCTGTCATAATTTGTGTCATTTTTAATAGACTTGTCTCAATTAATTTAAATTCTTCTAAATCAAAAGTTAATCTTGTCGACTTTTGAAATGGAAATGCGTAGGCTGTCTTACCATCAGGCATCAAGTACAACTGATATATTACACCAACAGATACTTCCATTTCTTGAATTAATTTGCCTGTTTCGATATCCCATTTCTTGAACTTTTTATCCTGTGAACCTGTGACAACATAAGAGCCATCTTTAGAAATTTGTACAAAATTAACATTCGATTCATGGAAATCAGTTTTCTTATCCTCCTGTAATGAATTTAAATTGGACAAATTCCAAATTTTAGCAGTATGATCTTCTGATGCTGTCACTAGTAAAGGTTCCCCTAAATCGCCCAGTACAAGACTGGTTGTAATACGATTAGTGTGACCAGTTAACGTAGCTACCAAATCACCACTGATCATATCCCAAACTTTAGCCACTTTCGTTCCTAAGGTTACAGCGGCATATGTTGTACCTGGGATGATTCCACCATGTCGCATTTTACTTTTACCATCTTGCTCATCAATGCGACTGATAAATTCACCAGTTTGGACATTAAAACATTTGATATGATTGCCAACGTCGGTTAATAATAATAATCGATTATCTTCGGACAAGGAGAAGCTTTCAATAGTTGCCGAAAATTTAGGATCTTCAAGCTCGCATAATCGTTCACCAGTTTCAATGGAATAAACACCAAGATGTAATGCCTCTATAAGAACATTGCGATTGTCTGATGTTAAGCATAAACGTGACATAATTCCCTTTAAGTGCGGCTCAATAATAGTTACTAAGCAAGCATGCGTCTCTAAACTCCATACTTTTGCTGTTTTATCACGACTACAAGTAACAATAAAACTATCGTCAGTAGCAATGGCCATATCTTCGACATCATCGGTATGGGCTTCCATCCAATAAACTAAATGACCAGTTTCTAAATCCCATTTCAAGAGAATAAAATTTTTCTTTTCATAGTAGCGCTTTTCCTGATCATCAGGCTGCGTATAATCATCATCATCTAATTGATTAATCGTTTCATGACTACTATTTTTAATGCTGCCATGATTACTACCTTCTGAATCATCTTGAGTTGTATGATCGTTTAATTCCGTATCTTTACTCTCTCTATCATCATTTGTCATTTGAGTTTGTTCATTTTCACTAATTTCATCAATTACTTCGTCTTCATCGCCGGAATTGTCGGCATTTGTAAGCGCTTGAATGGATAGCATCTTACATAATTTCCAACGATAAAGGCATGCTGATAATGCATAACGACTATCATGAGTTAATACTAATGGGCAATGGCCGCCAGTATGCCCTTTTAAATTATATAAGCGTTTACCTGATTCTAAATTCCATACAACGATAGATTTAACTTTCATAAATTCACCTATATAGGAATAGCCGATAACCATACGATTATCCGGTGAAATATGTACACGATGGATAGGTTCTGAATGGCCAATTAGAACATGAACTAAACTACCACTATTTAAATCCCATATGCGAATATTTTTATCAACTGAACCAGTAGCAAGAAAAATGCCATTACTAGATACAGCTAGGCTGATAACCTGATCAGTATGGCCTTCTAATGTCGATCTTAATGGACCACCAGGTAAGGGTAGGCAACCCCGAACGGGCATTAATGGCGCTGATTTAATACCCTCAGTTCGCGCGGTATTCACCAATTCTTGTATACATGGAAATTGGCTACTTGTTAAATCGCAAAGTTGGCCAACAATTTCTGGCGCAAGATCGCGAGGATCATGAATAATAGTGGATGCTGACATGCGAATCATATCATAAACAGTTTTCAGTTCGACATCTTGTTGAATTTCCATGGCAAGAACAAAATCATTTAATACTTCTTGGATCGACGTGGCTTTCAATTTAGTCAATAGCCAGTTATATGAGCAAAATACGATTCTTTTGGCTTCTACTAGCCTATTTGCATAAATTAAATGGTAGGGCAATTCACTTAATTTTCTTCTATTATATTTCTTTTTACTAGCATTGACATCGCCTTCAAATTCAAATAGTAATGGTTGTTTAGGTACTTTACGATCCGCTTCACCATAATGACTATCTAATCGGAATAATTCAACTTGTTGAGGTGTATATTCGAAAGGTTTATTAACGTTAGCCCATTTACCTATGTAGTAATCAGCGCACAAACTATGAATTTCTTTCTTGATTCTATCATTATCTAAGTAACGTCGACGTACAACTTCAGTAAATTGCCTATGATACCAATATATAACTTGACTGCCATCGGCTTCTCGCTCGACAAGATATTCATTAATATCATTCCTAATTCTAGTCCACAGTAAAGGTGGAATACGGCGTACAGGCGGCAACCAATATTGGTAGACATCTTGTAAGACAAGATCGTCGCAAGACAGTAAGTCTTCTAATTCAGGCTCAGTTAAGCCTGATTTAGTAGCAGTAATGTACGCTAAGGCTCGCGATACTAACACTTTTCCATGCATCCGTTCTAGTCGATCTAGTAAGGCATCAATCATTAATGGAATTGTAGACGGAAGATGTTTACTACTAATTTTATCATATGAATGCCAGGCTACTGTTTGATCGAAAACCAACTTTAAATATAATGGTAGACTGCAACTCTGGATTGCTCGTCTGACAACATCCATTTGGTGATCGTTTATTTTTCTTGAATTAGACGCTAACCAATCCGTTAAAATTTCTTGGCTAACATCAACGGGTAAGGATTGAATTTCAAGGTATTGACTATCATGAGGCAATACTTTCTTTAAAATATTCAAGCAGTTATATTCTGAAGGTAAAGTAGATAATAAAATAGAAACATGATGTGGCAATATTCTTGGAATCCATGACATTCGATGGGCACCGTCTGAAGGTAGCAATTGATCCAACGAATCTAATATGATTACAAGCGGTTTATCCTTAGGTATTCGATTAACTAAAGTGGAAAAATAACCAATTAATTGGCTAAACTCGTTAGGAATGCAATTTAAATCTTGATCATATAACCGACTTAGTTGAATGCATAGTGATGCTAATAATTTACGGATAGATGAGCTATCGGGCGATGTACCTAGAAAACGTAGCAGTAAATTTGCACTGGGATATTTATTTTTAGTATATTGGGCACATTTAGCCATAATAGATGTTTTTCCACTGCCAGATTCACCATAAACAACCAATGGAGATTTCTTTAATGTTTCATTAGATTCATCATGGTCTCTACAGCCCTTGTCAATATAACTTTCAACAACTTGTAAAATATCGCGGCGACCGTGAAAGGATTGACATTGTTGTTGGCAAAATGATAAATGTCCTAATACTTCTTCATATAATGAATCGTCAAATGGCAATTGCTGATTTTTCTCTATGCCTTTGTCAATCATTCTGATCATGACTAAATAAAATTTTTCACAAAATTCTCGTATATAATCTTCATGATCTTCATTATTATCAGGATCAATACCAGTTGGACTCCAATCCAACTGAAAATAAAATATTTGTGATTCATTTAATTTCTCTTTAATTTGATCATTTAAAAGTGATGAAAGTAAATCGGTAGCTTCTGTATTAATCTCGTTTTCCCCATGTATTAAATCAATATATGCAGGGACATTATCGTTCGATAAATCTTCTTCAAGATTTGAAATTTTGCGGACAAAACAAATACATTGATCATTTGTGCAATTTTCCACATCTAAAATACCTTGCCTAATTTCTCGATGCGTAACTGCAATAATCAAAATGATTTCATATAAATTAGTTATACTAAATGAGCTAAGTGATATCAAAGAGCGAATTTTAATATACTGTAATATCCAATTTAATATTTATTTATATCTGTATTTATTTATATTAGTGGAGATTAGTTCTTTATGATTCTTGCTATAACCTAGAGTTACCGCAATAATTAATTGATTTTACGCAATGGTTTCATAAACAAATGGGATTACATTATTTTATCTTTAATATTATAAACTACTATGGAATAAACGAATAAGAAGTAATTTTGAAAATTAGCATAAATTTACGATAATGAATTTAATATGGCCCAACATTCATGCAACTAATGTGTTAAAGTAACCAAATTCAGGCAGCAATTTGAACACAGAAGAAATATATACTATCAGGCAAATGCAGATTCAGTAATAGCTTAAAAATCATATTATAAATTTGAATCAACAATGTAACTAAAGTATTCTCAATTGCTTAAATTAAAAGGGATGTAAACAATTATTTAACTGTTGTGAATCTCGAAAAATTTAGAAGCATTACAATAGATAATTTAGAAGCTCAAATTTAGCAAACTCTTTAATACTGTATAATCAAATCGTTATACCTCATATAATTCGATATCATAACTAAATGCCATTTTATCTCATCAATATCTCAAATCTTCGTGTAGCTATAGCTTGTAAATGATTTAAAATATAGAAATTGGCGTAATGACTAGCTTTCTTATATTAGAAATTAAGGTATTCTGTGATTTTCGGCAATTAATTATTCTAGCATCAATATGGATATAGATTTTTAGTCAGAGAATATAAATTTTAATGAAGATATGCCATATAACTAGTTATGGCTCACCTGATATTTCAAACTGTTCAGCAACTCTTTGATCCATTTTTCCTATCAATTTCAATTTTTTAGCTGCTCTATTTAAGGATGATTGCAACTGAGAATAGATATTCCACCATGCTTTTCGATCATTAGCTTGTAATTCCGGCTCTGAAGGGTCATTATAATGAAGTAATTGACTTGAAATAGGTTGCAAAATATAAACTGGTGGTACTGCATTATCATCCTTCTTAAACCATTCATCGAGAAGCTGGACGGATTCTTGATGTAGTAACATAGATTGGCGAAGACAGTCAAAATGTTCTAATAATACACGAGTAGGAAATGGACGATAACCATATTTTTGTCCTATTAATGTCTATTTTTAAGCAAAATTGTTGATTTTAGTGAACTATCATAACTTCTTATAAATGATAATTAATCACTAATAAAGAGGCATTGTTACTAAATATATCATAAGCCGTATTAAAACAACAAAATGGCGCCCGTGCCAATTAATTCCACAATATCCTCATATACTCGTATATCATAAAGAAGAAAATACTTGAGATTATTTTCGGTAACTTTCAATATTTTCAGATATATTAATCCAGGATGAGTTTAACATCATTTAGATTATGTAATAGAAAATAGAAAAATAGTTTGAATATAGTACTTATTTTTGATCAAGTATTAAGGTTCTATTCCTTGCTAATTTTTGTGTAAAATCGATTTTTAGTTTATATGTGTTGCTTTTCTTAATTAAATCGGGAAAACTGGGTTATTTTTTCGGGTAAAATAAAATCAAGCGTTTCTCTCTTCAAAATGAATTTACGTTAATATATTATTTTCGTGTTAAAGTGTAAAATTTTAATTATCACTTACGTATTCGTAAAAATAATCAGCTAGAATAGTAATTAATCATTAAATGTTGGCTATCAAGGTTGAAAACCTGATTATTCCTCAAATTAATCGATTCGGTGAAAGTAAAGCAATTTAAAAATTAGAGACTCGATGTTGCCTTTAAAGGACCGAAAACACGAATATTTATCATGTCGACTACTATAAATTATAAAGAAAGCTGACTTAGTATTAAATAAATCAGAATTTGCATAGTAATGAAGCAGGAAATAATTTTGAGGCATCAAACTCGTCAGCATATTTTAATTTGGCCTTTGAAGTTTAGTTACTAGTTGTCACAAAACAGCTTTGCAACTAGATAATGTAATGTACGATCAATAAGTTAATTCTTTGAACGACGTATCAAGGAACGATATCTGCACTATCAAAAACACTTTTACTCTACTAGCAGACTACACAATGACTTAGACGCTTCGTATTTTACGTTAAATACTAAGTTTAAGAATCGACTTTATTACACGATATACTGCATTTATATACTCTTCCTCAATAGTTCAGGAGTCATAGTTAGTACGATTAACTTTGGAATCATTTACTGAATTAGATATTAATTTAGCTCCTGCTTCCTTAGTGTATACAATAGTATTTACGAACATAGACATCTGATGACTAATACAGAATAGTCAGATTACGATATGTCCTATCACAGAACATTTCCAAGATAATTTACAATCTACCATAAGTAAGTTACAATCACAATGATTCGAGTTGTAAGTAAATAATTTGCTTTCCCTATTATGGCTATTAATTTAAGTATGTGTATAGGTGTCACTGTCATTAAAAGTCAGTGCTATATTAAAACACAGTATATCCAAATTAGAAGTTAACTAAATAAGGATAGGCTAACAGAATTATCCTAACATAGATATTTCTACTCTAATACAGTGTATAACACTGTCACACTAGTAAACGCTCTTGGTTGCTGCATAAAAAAGGAAATTTACTTCCTTCTTACTGTATATCAAATATAGATATTGAATATAAAGGCTAACCAAGCTAATTCTAGTAATATCTCAAGATCAGGGTAACCTACAAAGTAATAGATAGTTTTTATTCATAAATCGGAAATAGCACCCTCTTTAAATGATACAATTGATCTATAAATTTAACTTTTTAAGATTATGTTATTTAGTCTTTACTGTAGGTTAAAATATCAATTTTGTAAGCTTAGTTAGACGGGAACTACTTCTGGTTACTAGTTTCTGATTAATTGATGGCCTAGGATTAAATACAGTAGGTAATGTAAAAATCTTGAAATAAACTAAGTTACATTTACTTTAGCTTGATTATCGTAATAAATCAAAAGTATTTATCATTGGCGAACATTATCAAACACTTATTTCCTTCTGCGCGTACTTATAAAGTCGTAGTTGTCAAATTGTATAAATGCGCGATAACTTTTCGATGAAATAATAGCCACTATGGCTAGTAATATTTAAAACAAATAAAATCTATTAAAGAAAATTTTTCCTTTACCCTATTGTCTATAGTAGATCTTAAATTGTTAATGAACACGCATGGAATTTACAACGTGATGCAATTGAAATGAAATAGTCTTCCGCGGTAGCTTTTATTTTCGCTATTGAAATCTTATATATCTAAGTTAACTTTTAATTTGCGTAACTAACTACGTAAATTTTTAGTAGCTATTAATGCTAAACTAATACAGCATACAATGCAGCAACCCTACGAGTATAAGAAATAAAAATAAATCTGCTATCTATTATAATCCCACCCGATCATTTAATTCTAACCATGTGCATGTTACAATCACACCCATCATTAAATTGTTGCTTTTTTAATGAGAGGTATACAATGGTTACAGAAATTGCAGAAAATGACGATCATATCACAGAAGGTATATAAACTGCAGTCTAGTTTGCTATTTCAGCAATTTTAACTTATACAACGGTGCAAATATTATTCATGAGCGTTCTAAAGAACTTACGAGGTACATTTTACCCATCCTTCAGTTATACAAATAATTCTTTAAAGTCATTCCTTCCTATCTTAGAAGGCTAACAGCAACTTAATATTATTACAACTGTCGGAATTAAACTATACGATCTATTCAAGAAATCAAAATGGTAGACCAACCACTGTCTACCCAATAAACAGGAAGCACTTTACACTTTACAATAATAAATCTCACCATATATAGTACTTCCTGAACTATATGAATTCTAAGAGAATTGGCAGATATAAATATATCTACTGTGCCAAAATTCTTTATAAATACAATCAGAAAAGAAATAAACTTACTAACTCTATTCTGCATCCAGTCGCGTTCAGGGTTTATAAATTATCAATGTATGTATAGATGAAATTACAAGATCGTAAAAATCAATAAAATGACTAGTACATTCCACTAATTAATCGTCTATCAAAATTTTAATAACGACTTAAAAGGCATCCAACTGACTAAATAATTTCGATGCACCAATAAAATTAAAACCATTGCTAACTCAATCAACTAAAATATATCCAACGATAATTCAGCAATGATTTTGTGTCTTAATTCATTTAATATATAGATATGATTTTGAATACATACTAAAAAAGAAAAAATTAAAACTAAGGCAAACAGTCGAAATGTACATTTGCATTAATAAAATTGTAATGACTAACCCGAGCCCGAGATATAAAAATACGCATGAAAAGAAAAAAATTAGTAACCACAATATCTTTCTACATGTTCACTACAAGGATTACGATATCGTCATGACGGCAAAATATCAAAGCTCAAAGGAAGGCTTCAAACGAAAGGTAGTGTCTAAGTATATTCTCTAAATCATTAAAATTGGAAACACTAGGCTAAACAGACGCTAACTAGATTAATAATGAAGGGAAGGTTACTATCTGCAGTTGCTAGATGTATTCATGAATTCCGTTATGTGAAATTACAGCTACCACTGAACTTAATATTATTTATATCCAGGGAAAAGATTGCCGTAAAAAAGATGATAGCTGAAGATTACGAGTCACAAAATCCATACAATTAAGATTAGTTGGTAAAATTTATCCAAGACTAAAAATGAAATAAAATTGCCGAAATGCGTTGATGATGCCTATAAATCTTAAAATAAGTGCCCAATTTCCAATAATAATAATCGAAAATGAAGGTTAACCTTAAGCAACTTTTACCAAAGAAATGTAATTATACCCTCAGTAGAAGTTCCAGCCTATTTAAATTATTTCATAGCGAAGAATGTGATCGAACTCAATTCTACATATCAACAAAAATTATAATTACTGATGCTAGAATAGTCGTATAAAAACGAAGACTAAAAGCCAAAAGAACTGTTTATATATCGCTGGTATTAGAACGATTCTGGCTAAAACATTTTTGATCGACAATTTTCGCCTAACCCTACCCTAACTGTCGACAAATTATAATAATTTCTGTTAAGGTAAACATGGCTAAAGAAAGATTCAAGAACTAAAAAATGGTCTAGACTAATTCAATGCATCGATGAAATTATAGGGTACGGTACTTATGCTTAGTTGATCCAATTAAAAATAACTTAGTGAAGGTCTCTATCTCTCTTTTATCCACCTATCCACGACATTATAACTACTAGGCTAAGCGTTCTCGTAAATAAATAAAGTTTAATTAAACATGAAAATGTAGTAGCGAATATATCAACCAATTCTTGCAATATTCATTAAAATTAGGCTAAAGGGAGTACACAGAGCGATTTAAATGAATAAAACTACCTAAAATTAACCCTGTCGTTATTGCAACTTAAATTGTATAAAAATCATGCCAAAAATGCAAAACGTAATTAGTAAATAATTTTCTTATAAATTCTATGTAAAGTAAATCACTAACATTGATGATACTTATCTTGCTACTTTAATATTAATACTCAAGAACTGCTTGGGGGCTTGTTCAATTTGAAAGCACAGCGATATAGTTAAACTGTCTTACTTGTCTTTGTACGTATTATTCTCGAAGCGGAAGTAGTAAGAAGAAGGTCAAGAAAAGTTGACATCGTCATGTGAACGAAGATAGTAGTACATTATATTGCTATCTGTGGAAGATTAATAGCTGTGTTAATCGATCCTCATTCTAATCGACACTGCGACTTTGATAATAGTGGATGAGAATACTTTTTCAGTCTGTGGTTGAGGAACTATGCGCCATATTGAATTGTAATAGCATAAAAGCGTATCTGTCAGATACCGTACTGCAATACAAATCCTTGACTTACCACAAAATTAGGCCCAATAGAGATCTTCTGGCATAGTTCAATTTCTTTTAGGCATAATTCGGTTGTAATATGATCATCGGTTGCTTCATCACGAACTCCCCATCTCATATCAACTAATTGAAAATCTAATCCATGACGACTTCGACAGTATTCTTTAAGTCTTGAGTAGATATCCTTCATGATGGCATTGCGTTCTAGTTTTGTGTCTAAATTTTAATTTAAATAATAGAATTTATTGTATTCGTAGACTATGAGTAAGAATTTATTGAAAAGGTATTGGGAATGAGATTTAAACAGTTGAAATAAAACTACTATAGATGCAAGAAGAGCATCAATCTGTTAGAAATACTTTGAAAAACAACTGTTAAAGTCATGTCTGCATTGATCAATAATGAAAGAAAAATTATTTATGACATCAAATGGCAAATATAGATCAAAATAAATTCAGAATCGAGCATTAGTAAAGTTTGACGAATGTTGAGTTTCATTAACAAAATTTCATGATGGTAACGGACTGAATGCGAGAGTTCAAGAAATAGATTTGTATGAAATTAGTGTAATTTAAAATCTACTTTGGATAATTTTTTAGTCTTGATATTATGAATATCTCAGGTATCATAAGAACAGAAATATTACTATTTAGATGCAATCTAGAGCCAAATTATAGCTTCAGAAATCTTTTATCAACCACTGGGGATAAAAAAAATCAAACCACTGAGTGGGAGTTGATGGAATACTCTACGAGCAATTAATACGACAATGAAAATATACTTTTCAACTAAATGTGTCAAGGAATCCCCTATTGCATCAATTCATCTTTGTTATGATTTTTTATAGTGTACGTAACTTAAACTTAAATTAGAGTATTAATGCAAAAATTCTTAATTTAATCAGACCGAAAAATATACGAAAGCAACTAACTTTTTGAAGTTAAAATATCACAGCAATTCAACTTGACGTTGAAATTTCAATGAAGTTTTTTTGTAACATACTCTAGAATTGGATACAGTTAATGCTAAAATCGATGATTGATAGCAGCAAAATTCTACCTTACCAGTAAAAGTAGAGCTAATAAACGCTCGTACAGTTTGAGATCTTTTGGATGGGAGATTGATCATATTACCGGATAGAATAGACTGAATAATATCATCATTAGATTCCATAGTTATTAATGATGAGAATCGATCAATAGCCCAATCAAAATGACTTGAATGATTGCTGTAGCAAGAATAGATTGCCAATAAGTAGCCAATCCACGGCAAATCCCTTAAAATTGTTCTTAAAATTGATCAATGATTGGCACAATTGACCTAAATCGAATTTTTAAAATATGATTAAGCTATAACCAGATCACATATTAGATTAAAAATATAAAAGAAAGTCAAGGAGAGAATTTAATAGGCTACTAATCACTAACGGTAATAGCTATAGAGCAGACAAAATGATGCTACTAGATTTTGTTGTTTGATACAGATAACAATAAATATAAGGACATGAAGACATCAGATTAGAGAGAAAAAGCAATCAAATGTAATAGATTCTACCTTTCTATTTCTAATGTAACAGTATAAGCTAAGGAAGTTGAATATGTTAATAAATTGGATTCTAGCATAGAAAATTAAATAAAATCAACAAGAAAAAGTTGACAATTACAAGCAAAATCGTTATAATTTACACGAGCAAAACAATCGTCATTTAAAAAAACATTGCATCCTTCAATCTCTCTCTCTCTCTCTCTCTCCATATCTATACGTGTGTCTATTTAAAGGTGTTTTGGTCTATTTATCAATGTGAGTAAAAATTCTATTAAGAAAAAACGTGATAAGATCTTGCACAACTTATGCTTATTTAAATGTATTTTGAAGGAAATGGATCATTCTCCATAATTAGGATAACATTTTAAAATGATACTGTCCTATTTTGTCAAGTCAAAAAGTCACAACTAAAATCGGAACGTAAATAAACTTCCATTAGTCAACATGTACTGTATCACAGTTGGATATCTCTTGTATGGTTAGGAACAATCATTACCAATCATAATGTGACTTATTGCGATTATAACTCAATTTATTTCACCTTGATATTTCTTTCCAATTTCGCCGTCGATAATCACCTGAATTAAATCTCCATGAAATCCAATTTTTCCCTTCCAGAATACTCTAGCGTATCAATACTAATCGTGTTAATGCTAATACCTATTGTGGACAGTTAGTTCGACGCAATCACTTAACGTAAAAGATGCTGTTTAGAAAGAAAAATACGATTTACTCCTCCTCTCTTACTTATTTATAAAATTAAGATCAGTAAATAAGTCTGATAATCTTAAACAATATTGGTCATCAAACTTTTCCACAAATATTGCTTGACTTGTATCATCCAAATAGTCTTTACCTAGTCATAATTTCTCCGATGCGACAGATGAATTTCTTAGCCTTCACAAGAATATAAATCAATTTTTAAACTAGCAATTACTGTACATTCTTAATAGGTTGTAAGATATTTCATCAACTATGGAAAAGACTCGTATTTGTCAATAAGATCGACGAAGCGACATAATCGAACTACTCTTTCACATGTTAGCATTCTATACTAGAGCATAGCAGCAGAATATTGCAATAGAATTGGTTATCAAGTCCGCCTTGCCTAGTCATGACCGGATATGGTTACTATAGTAACCAAGACAATACAGAAACTGGGCAAGCAGCTATGATGGGAGGATAAAAAGACAACTTCTGACTCTTTTGAGGTAGAGTTAGAATTATTAAATCTCGAATTTATACAAGTGACATCTAATCGATGTTTCTTTGGCTTATTCAAGTCGATAATAGTGTCTATTCGTGGTTGAGACCTGTCCAAATTAAAACCGATCAATAATTTCATCTTCCTCGTTAACATTAATGATTACGATGATGATGTTATTCTTGAAGCTATTGTTTTCCTTCTATCAATAGTCATTTAAATGATGATGGAAAAGAAGAAAAACCTCATCTGTATAAAATTGTTATTATAACAGCTTATTTTCATGTAGAATAATGAAATACTTTTATCGATGCAACTTCACCATGACTATTAATTCGATCAATCTTGACAGATGATTAATACTCATTTCAATACCTATATTATATTGCTTCAGTAAATGGCTATTTCTAAACTTATCCATCTCGATAGTTATGTTTGATTTATATATCTTATCCATGGAAATTAAATTTTTGTTATTTGCTATTGTTATAGTAAGGTATTACTAATTATGAAATTGGAGCATTCCAAGCGATCTAATCAAAATATGAAACCGCTGCACACCCTTTCCGTGTTGAAGGTCAGTATAATACCCTAGACTAGAAGGGAAAATCTCAGCTGCATTGATACCTCCTCCACAGTAAGCATTAGATTCAACAGAATATAAAGCTATACCACGTATAATAAATAAAACAACATTTGCCAATATGCGTAAGACTAGTGCAAAACTGGCCTTACCTAATTTAGCTAATTCGGTGTAGTTAGTAAAAGAAAAAATAAGATAAAATATAGTAATAAACTAGAAATAAGTTTATATCTAAATTAATAATGTCAATATAGTAACTAAAAAGAGATTTAATTAACCCTTTTCTCGCCCTAGATTTCATCTTTATAATCTTGAAAAGTTTATGATTAAGATAATGACCATAATATTTCAATACTAGCCTAGATCAATCTTGTTTATAAATTCAGCCTATGCGAGATAGCTATTCATATATTATTGTTTATTGTTCTAATATACAAATCAATAGATATCTACTGTACTGATGATCCATAAAATGGTTACTTATTCTCAAAATAGACTTATGCGTTGATACTATGATATCATTGCATCGTCAATACTCATTTCTACTAGGACTCATTTTGCCTATGTTGATGAAAATATTATTCGACAAAAGATACCTTCAGGCTCCACTTAAATTTGTTGCAATGAGAATGAATACTGTTGTAATTAAGTTTTAATTACTGCATAGAATTGGTCTTATTCTTTATTCAGTCATACTAACTACTTATAATACCAATGATAGAGACAATCATTTCATCTGTTGTTATCATAATATCTCTAACGAAATTAAATAATGGTCATAAAATAATATTAATAGCACGATAGTTACAACAATTGATCGTTATTTAAATAGTACAATCGTAATGTGCTAAGTGATAATGCAGCCTTGCATCTCATAAATTAAAGATAACAATGTGAGGATACCTTATGTTTAGGCAAAGCATCCTACTTACAATTAATGAATTATGATACCCGTAAATGAAAGTAACGATGAACATTACGGACGTTATTAAGACTTTAACAATCACCTATCATGATTGTTTTAATTTAGTCTATCAGGTTACCATTTGCTATTCAATTGATAGCCTTAATGGTTTCTCAATATCGTTGAAACGTAAAAAATATCTAATTTGATTACGCTATCCATATTTGAATAAACAAGTATATGCTCTTATACTGTAGGCTTTTTCAGTATATGAAAGTAAAATATAAGATAAGAATGAGTCCATTCCTATATTAAGTTAAAACTTCTCAATCGTAAGTATTATAGTTCATTTTTGACGCGGATTATTAGTGTATTATATCAATACACTACTAGAAACTCAATCAGCCCGTTCAATTATAATAAATATAGATGAATTACATCTAATCATAACGATACTATCAGCTATATCAAGACAGATTTTTATAAAGCTATTATTTACGTAAAAACCAAGTTACCATATCAATTGACTACTTACTATTTTATCGATACCATTCCATCCTTTCCTATCATGGTGTAACGTAACTTAGTATTGTGATTGTAGACTGTTAGCCATGTGTAGTATAATGTACGGTAGATATTTATCCTAAGAGATGTTTGGTAGCTATAACTATAGACTGTAGTGGTAGAGACTCTATGCTAGAGTACAGATGACTATATACAGTAAGCTGTTGAGTTACTAATAAGGCTATAGGTAAAAATAGAACTGTAAATCATATATTAGGATATGGTTAATTCATTGTACTTTGGCTGGTGTGAATAATGTCTACGTAAGTACTGTAGTCGTATCCATATTGGATTAATGATGGTCCGCAGTAGAATAGTCTTACTAAGAATAATTTAACTATGTGTAAAATAAAGTAAAAGGTTGCCATGCGAATTGTAGCTGCGAATGCTACGGAAAGTATAAAAGCATGCAACTTTAGATTATTCTGTGAGTTCGTTGTAGAAGGCTTTAGTAGTAGTATTCGGCTAAAGTAGAGCTGTGTGTAGTTGATCTTTGTATAAGATTCAATAAAGCCCTTATTTTTCTAAAATTTGGAATCTCGCGATTGGTATATATCACACATGGCAATATGAAGAAACAACCTATTAATGCTATTATTGCCATTCCAATTTATTTAGTTTTATCATTATTTTCTATCATAATGATTATCTAGGCTAGAATTGGCGTTCTTAGCATTGAAAAAATAACTTACCAAGTTAGAAATAACATTAGCTCTTTGCCATTCACAACATCTGTTCATCGTAGTAATTACTAAAATATTGCCAAGTTATTAGATTGAATATTTTTAGAGAGAAAGATACCCAAATTGATTTGTGTGATTTAGCTAAATAATACTACAATAAGAAACATATTGCTAAATCTTATTGATTATTATTTATAACAGAAACTTTTTGAGTTCTAATCTATCATTGCTAAATACTTTAATCAAGAAACTATTAATTATTTATATTATATCTAAGGTCATTACTTTCTGTTTTATTGACATTAACAGCTCTTAATTAAAACGAGTACCATAGCAACAGCATAATTTAATAATATCCAGCAAGAATTTTGCGTCATATTAAACTTATCCATTATTTATCGATCAGAAATAAAAATTCCCAAGCTTGCTGTTTAATAGCAGATTGATAAATGAGTATATCCTTGCTATATCGTCATCATATCAGTCTATTGTTCAGCTTTCTGAACTAATTTTAACTAAGGTTAGTAAACATAGCTATACCCTTTGTTACCTATACACCGAAACAGTAAATATTAGCTAATAAAGACAAAGTCAAAATCTAAATACTTTTAAAAGATATTCTTGTAGCTTAGAGCATCTTACATGCCAGCTGTTTGAATCTGAAAAAAAGAGATTATGACAAAACTGTTC